GCTTCAGCAGCTCTGAATTAGCCATTCCAACCTATGATAACAATGATTTAAGAAGCCTCTTAGAAATCTTACAGCAATGAGCAGGAGTACTAGCATCTTCATTTTATTACCATTAGAGTTCAGCCACTGAAAAAAAGTTAAACAGAAGTGCTATTGCAATTACCTGACCTGAAACATGTCAGCTCATCCATGAAACTCAGCAGCACCTATCTCTTAAGTCTATGTCTGGGACCACCTCTCAAGAGCCTTCCTCATCAAGACAAGCTTCATCCAGCTGTTCAGCTGAAATGTCAAAATGTTAAATTTATTTATGTTTTGTAGGGTTCAAAACAGGCCCATTTTTCATTGAAATTTCTATTAAATGTTTGTGCAAATTAGCAAATACATAAACATTTCAATAATGGGTCCTGATAATGGTAATTAAAATTGTGAACAATGGAAGTCCAGTGTTAGCAAAGCAGTTATTGTTTTTAAGGGAAAAAAGGCCAATTTTTAATAAATAACCTGCTTAAGTCACTGGCTATGACTACACTGCATACTTATTTCAAAATAACAGAGTGCATGTTTATACAGCAAGCCTTTTATTTCAAAATAATTTAAAAATAACGGGCTTCTTACTCCAACTTCTGTAATTCTCATTTCACAAAGAGTAAAAGAAGTTGAAGGAAGAGTGTTCTTCCTTCAACTTTGTGCTGTGTAGACAGCACCAAAAGTCAAGTTAAGCTACTTCGACTTCAGCTACACAATTAACATAGCTCAAGTTGCGTATCTTAACCCGACTTTAGCCTTCAGTGTAGATGTACCCTGAGAGAGAAAGCTACTTTAAAAAGAGCTGATCCTATATCAGGAAGTGATAGGAAAAATAAGGCAGACCTAATTTATCAGACTGGAGGGTAGGAAAAAAAGAAGAATGAGTTCCCAAGGCAAAGAAAAACAAATTTTATAAAGCAATTTCTGTCTACCTGGGCTTTTGAACTGATCAATATTAATACCAGGGAAAACAATATTTTGTATCTTAGTTATATTAATATATTGTCTGTGTCTAGCTAAAACTAAAGGAAGTACTGAGAATCAATGCTTTGTTCTTTAAACAAAAGAATCAGTAAAAGAGCTCTTAGCAAACTGCAACACAGTTATATTAAAATAATTAAATCTGCTGTTGGAACCTTAAATATTTATTTTAAGGCAGACCCTAATTCTAGCTTTCACAGACTCAAGGCTGGTTACCAAATAAGGCAGTGAGGGCTCATTTCCTTTGACATAAACCATTTATTTCAGTATTATTAAACAGCCACTCGCTAACCAATCAAAAACTTCACATATTGGTGCCAGCTGTTTGTAATTTCATTCCACAGCTTTCTGGATGCAAGCACGAAAAAGCAAAATAGGAAATATCTTTTATTACTTTTACAGCACCTGTTACTATAGAAGCAGAGCAATTATTTACAGTCACAACACAATTTTAATGTACACAAAACCACCCAATTTGGTAACCTTAAAAACACCATCTTTTGTAATAAGCAAATGCAAATAAACAGGTGTTCCAACCAAAACTAAGCCAAATAAAAATATCTTACACCATGTTGTGAAAGCTTCCAAGGCTTAAGCGGACTTCCAACAAGGAGGGAATTCCTGGGGTCCTTAGCTGGGAAATCTTTGCTGCTGGACTTGGAACCTTTAGCCCTCAGGAATGAACAGCAATTGCTTCCCAGCTAGGGAGGGAGATTGGACAAGAAAAGGATGCCCCGCTAATCAGGTCTCAGACCATTTTCAGGGCTTTTAAGGATAATTTACAGGTACAATTCAATTATTAATAGAACGTCATTGCAAAGACTAACAAAGACTTCCAGCACCAGTGCCTTCCACAAGTTGAATAGATTTTTTTTTTACTTTAAAAGTTGCCTATCATTTTATCAAGTGACCCTTTCTTCTAGCATTATGTTCGAACAGTATGAAAAACAGACTGACTAGTTTCCTATTACCTTTCCTAATGTCTAAATACATCCTTTGACTCTTCTGTCTAGGCTATAAAATATTGATTGAGTCTCCTCTTCATACCCCCATAAATGCCTTGTACTTCTACCCATTTTCATGACTTCTCTGAATCTTTCTAATGTAGCGCTTATCAGCAATGGTTTCATATGCATCAATAGTCTGAATTTGAGAGGTAGAGTACCGACAGCTACAAACTGATTTCAGAAAGATCATAAAAAATTAAGCCATATGACTTAAAAAAAAGACTTCCATCTACTCATGACACATGACATGTTACAAATCTACTCTTTGGCACTTATTAAGAGTCATATGAAGAGTATATTAACAGTCAATTACCATATTATTTACCACCTAGTTAGGCTAAATTTCAGGATAAAATGTTAGGAGTATTTGTAAAGGTTACATCACTTTCATAGAAGAACTCCAATGTAATTTCACAGGGTGAAATTAATTTGTGAAATTTTACAAACTATGAGAATTTGCAAATTGATGTTTCCTACCAAATTTTCAGCCTCTTTTTTACACCCTATAAGCAGACTGCATAGAATGTTCCCTCAGTGAATCTTCTGTGAGACTGCAGGTACAGCCCAAAAACACAGGCAATACAATTTTCTTGGCAGTTTCTTCAAATATAATACTATTTGACGTCACCAATAGGCAAACATTTGATGTCTGTGTTCAGTTTCCAGGAAGCTCTGATATGCTTCCTTAACTAAATGACACTAAACATTCAAAACAGAAAAGTATTAGTTTATTCTCATTGCATTTTTGCATCGTTTTCACAGTAAGAAAAATACCATACATGATCAAATACCATACATGACCAAAGTTTCAGTGGTCAGGGAAGTTTATTTTAAAGCTGTATAGATTTACTTGATTAGCATGCCCTAAGATCCTTTGAGTCGAATGATGCTATATAAAATACAGGTTGGACCTCCCTGGTCCAGTATACCAGGGACCTGACCAGTCTCAGATGAGGGATTTTGCTGGATCAGGGGAGGTAATTTTTGGACTCCTGCCATCATCACCCCTATCCATCTTCTGGCCTCTCGGCCTGCTCCCTACCTCCTGCTGGCCTTGCTGTGCTGATGACCCTGCTTGGCAGCCATTGCTGCCATGACTCTGGGACCCACCAGACATCCCTGCACCGGGGCTTCTAGACCCATCGGGCTACCATGTGTGCCATGCTGAAGCCTTGGGACATGCCAGGCAGCCGTACGCACTGAGACTTCCTGCTCCACTGAGCTACCATGACTGCCAGTCTTGCCAGACAGCCACACGCCGGGTCTTCCAACCCTGCTGGACAGCCCTGCTGCCATGTGCTGGGCAACACTGCTGTCAGTTTGCTGCCGGCAGCCCACTGCCCTGCCAATCCCACAGGGATCCTTGCCACTGGCCCTCATTGGGACTTTCTGGTCCTGCAACATCCCTTCTGGACCATGGACATTGCTGGACCAAAGAATCTCAGTTAAGAGAGTTTCAACCTGTATAAAATATAGTCTTTACCAATAGGAGAATGGCATTTGATATTCCAGTTATTTTCTAGCCCTTGCTTTGGTTAGATTTGGACAGAATATCAGAAAATATCAAGTTACAAACCAGGAAAGGGAAACACCATGACTTTTACAATGAGATACCTGATGTTACTCAAACACTACAAGTCATATTTTTCTTTATACTCTAAAACAGGTATTGCAAGTCTGAGCATTCCTGTAAGAGAACCAGATATCATCAAATTTCTAATTATACACAGTACTTGAAGTATTGTTTTACTAGGCTTTATTAATAGATTTAAAATAACATTAGACATTGCTTGTAGGCTTCTCTGCCTAGCAGGAAATGTTTCTAATTACTTGCAGAAAATGAGGGGCATATTTTAAAAATAATGTTGGCCTAAAGTAGTTTATGGCAGTTAAGGATATTATTTCCTCTAAGCAGTAATAATCCACATAGAGAAGACAACTGAGCTTTCAAGCTGCAGTTCCTAGGAATTCTTTCATCATTAATATAGGATTTGCTCATTCTACTTCTGAAGCAGTTTGGGAGTTCTATCTCAAGAGATTCAGGGGAGATGACCCCTACACAGAAGCTATGTTTTCAGGGCACTTCCCTGCTTCTACCCCTCCAAAAGATACCTTTCTCTCTGATGGCATGAAGCAATCACAAATTAATTTACAGACAAAATGTATGTTGGGCTCCCCAGAATGTTTGGGATGGGATAGGAGAAGGAGAAAATCCAGGGAAACCTATCTCTTCTCTTGCGTATCTCCCACAATTCTGAAGGCAGTCCCTCAGAGAAGCTGTCATGACTTTGGGCAGAAGGAAGGAACACACTGTGGAGGAAGGATTTCCATTTCCCACCTGAGTCTCTTAATTGCCAGATCAGCAGAAGGATTTTATTTAAAGCGAACAGCTCTGGACTCAAAGTTTATTAATGATATACAAACAGTGGATTTTACATGGGAGCAACTATGCCACCCAGTGGAAATTTTTCTTCCTACTTAATTGTACTGTGTCATGTAAACGGCTTTCTTTGGTTTCCTACAACTATGAAACAAGACTCAATGAAAGACAGACATGCAAACAAATCTACAAACAGATACTTCATTTTTAATAAAGTGATCAAAACAATTACTAATCAAACAGTACCTTTAGTAATTCCATATGTTAAACTGTAAAGTAAGTTCATTACAAATTATATAAAACTACCCTTTTATCGAATACAGAAATAAACTTATTAAAGATTAAATGAGGAGCAGACCTTTGATAATATTAACTCCTCTTCTAAAAAGCAGCTATATGTACCCATGAAAACAGACTTCTATAATGGAAACTATCTTTTGACAGTACATTTAAAGATTAACATTTGATGTTTACATTTTACAAATTGTAATCTATATCTTTAAGACTCAAGTTATGACTGTAATGAAAACACTGCACACTGCTCTGTATAAATATATAAAATATTTATTAAATATATCACAAGATTTGGTATTTACAGTTTATTTACATTAAACGGGTTTTCAGGTAAAACATTATTTAGTATCTTACTGTATTTAAAATGCAAAGCTTTTGTATTTCAGTGGGCAAAACAATCTTAGCTCACAAAACAGTGTACACAAGAGTTTGTTTCTTGCCCATCAGCTTGTCCATGTCTCTTGCTTCTTGCCCTTTTTCAATGTTTTGTTTTTCTCTTGGCGTATAGTTTCACACTGAAATGATTTCATTTCAGAAAGTCTCTGTATGTATTCAGGTGGAGCTCCAGCAAAAGGATCTATGAAATGGTGAGGACCTATGGAGGGGGAAAAAACCACTAATTCTACTGTACTAACTCAGGCAGATCATCAGTACCTTTACTATGAAGTACGTCTTTAGCAGAGTTATTTGAAAGGTTGGTTTATATTTAATCAATCATTGGTCTAACACTAAAATATGACATTCCACTTTCAACTTAAAACCTCAATAAAGAGAAGTAAGAGTCTAGAAATCAAGTCTTGACAGTATATGTATTTTAAAATGGTAAACATCTCAACAAACTAATTCTCATTAAAAGGGGCAGTGGACAAACAAAAGTTGCCAAAAACATGTATGATACTGATATTTTTAGATTATAATATTTTTGTTAAATTATAAAAAACTGTTATCTCTCTGGTTTACAGTCCCACTATTGTTCATTTTCTCCTACTTTTTTCATATTGCTTTTTAGTTCATCTGTGACCACTTGTAGACATATTTTTACATAAGGGGCTTTTAATAACAAAGATATGCATTTCATCTAGAGACATTTATATTTCATTATAATTACAAATAATAAACTATTGTACAAGACACTGACAGATTAATTTGCTACCTATTAATCCTTCCAAGTAATATAAATTGTTAGTTTGAACCAAACTAACCTAAAAATAGTACTTGCTAGCTCGATATTTCACCATAACAATGTTATGGTAGTTAATATGGTCAAATGAGTTTAGAAGTAGCACCTTCCAGAGACAGTCTTCTAATGCCATGGTGTCCAACACACAACTCACTAGCCACATGTGGCTATTTGGCCGGTTGAGTGTGGCTAGTTGACTTGAACAATTTGACTGTTTGGCCGGTTGAGTGTGGCTAGATGCTGCTGCTTCAGAATGGTTGGACACCAAGGTTCTAATGAAAACAACACAGATGTTTTTCCATACTTACTGGAAGTTATTTTCAGGTTCAAATGTAGTGACATTGTAGTGAGTTCATTCAAGTAATCTTTTCTCTGATCTCATCATACCATTTATACACCAGTATTCTACTCAGTGGAGTGTAAGATTGACAATCAGTTACTTCAGTTCTAATCCCAGCTCTGACAGCCAGTCATAGCCTCTGTCTCAGTTCCACCCCAGGATGGATAAAAACCAATGCTTTTTAAAAAAATAAAAAATATCAGTATTTTATTTAAATTTGATTTATTTTTAAAAATAATAAAATACTACATTTTTCATTTAAAAATAGCAGTTACAATTAAATCTCACCACAAACACGCTACACCTACACTTACAGTCTAATACCTCTAGTCTGTCTGCTTAACTACTAGCTCTTGCTTCTTGAAAGTTCTGGGCTTTCAATTTCTGTTTCTTAGAAGACTGAAGTAACATGTGCAAAGGGCAACAGAATATTTAAAAGAAGTGGTAGTGAAAGCTGTCATAAACTGTGAGCAAAAATTGTCATATGCGCAGTTCTGTCACAGACAATGAAAGATGAGAAGATACTCAGAAGAAGAAATGGAAGCATGCTCCTTAATAACATTGGCTGCAGTGCACTTTTAATGCATCTTTTAGCTAAAGATTTAAGTTGGTCTTCTCCAGGAATAAAAGAAAATGTTGAAATCACAAAAATACTTCCATAACAACCATTCTGCATCATCTTCACCTAAGAGAGCAGGAATATCCACACTAATTACTCCTTTAAGATATTAAATGGAATTCGGTGGTTGATTGTTTTGAACAATTTATTTAAGAACTGGCCCATTCTCATAAAACTTTGTGAAGAAAATTATAATTAAATGGATGGAATTATCTTGTTCAAAGTATCTAATGTTGGATTAAAGAGGAATGTAGAGTATACTGAAACCTATTACCATAGCCTTGAACAAACTTCAGAGCAATTATTGATGCATTGCTGATATTGTTGAAAATTGAAGGCATTTCAAGAGACATTGATGAAAGAATTACCTCATGAGAAAGTTAAACTACAGGCAATAAAGAAGCGAATGGATCAAACACTAACTCTACCTCATTTTCTTGCAAACATTATTAACCCCAAATATACAGGTAGATGCCTAACTTCTGAAGATGCTGCTGCTGCTGTCATGAAATGGCATCTCAAAATCACTCCTCAGTTATGCTAGTCACAATACATTTCAGGGCTGGAGTGAAACCATACAAACAGTAAATGTACTGTTTACTGATGATGAACAAAGTCATTCCACTGAATTGGTGGCAATGATTAGCCAGGCACCTTAAAACAGAATTATTTCATTTGCTAAGCCAACTTTGCACAGCAGTAGCTTCCTCTGCAGACACAGAGAGAATGATGTCATCATTTGATATTATTCACACAAATCTAGGAAATCAACTGGGAGTTGAAAAAGCAGTAAAACTTGTATTTCTGGCTCAGTATATGAATCAAAATGACAGAGGGAGTGGGGAAGATTACAGCTAGTTGTAGTTCACATTTGCCTATTGCATGAGCCGTGTGTCCCGAGTGGGCTTCCGTCAGGAGTCTCCTGAGTTGCTGGCTAATGGCTGGCCTTAAACTTTTTGGTTTTTTAATTTTTACATTTTATTAACTAAGGGTATGTCTACACTACCCTCCTAGTTCGAACTAGGAGGGTAATGTAGGAATACCGCACTTGCAAATGAAGCCCGGGATTTGAATTTCCCGGGCTTCATTTGCATAAGCGGGGAGCCGCCATTTTTAAAACCCCGCTTGTTCGAACCCCGTGCAGCGTGGCTACACGGGGCTCGAAGTAGGTAGTTCGAACTAGGATTCCTATTCCGAACTACCGGTACACCTCAAATCCCGGGCTTCATTTGCAAGTCCGGTATGCCTACATTACCCTCCTAGTTCGAACTAGGAGGGTAGTGTAGACATACCCTTAGTTAATAAAATGTAAAAATTAAAAAACCAAAAAGTTTAAGGCCAGCCATTAGCCAGCAACTCAGGAGACTCCTGACGGAAGCCCACTCGGGACACACGGCTCATGCAATAGGCAAATGTAAAACATTTATATATAACACTTAAGATTTAATTTAATTCATTGCTTTTTTTGTAAGAAAAAAGCTGCCGGTACTCCAGGCTCAAAGTTGTTGAGCAAAAAAAAAAAAACATGTTGAGGAAAAAAAGTCATGCCGGGGACCAAAATGCGGTCGGGGTTCCGTTAGAGCCGTGTGTCCTGAATGGGCTTCCATCAAGAGCCAAGCCACCCCAGAAAATACGTGCAGGTATGCCAGAGGGGAACCCTATTCAATTCAAGTATGATGAGTAAATAGGTGCCGGTCCCTGGGCGTACTATTGTGTTACATTTCTAACAGATAGCTATTCACATGAAACGGAACTGACAAATGGAAATTCTGAGCAAAAAGCAAGCAAACAAACAAAAACCACCAACTCCACCAAAAAAACAAAAACAAGAAACATCTGTTCGTGTGACTCTTCAGTCATCTTAGAACAGAAATAATTCCTGATACTTGACAGTATACTCAAAATAAGTGACTTTTACTATTATCAATCACAGCTTCTCTGGTTTTTAACTGCCTGAAAAAGGTGATATTTCTTCTCACACTTCACTGTAAACAGTATTCCTTGAATAAATGTATGTAATCACTAGAAATTCAAGAAGTTTTATCACAGAGAAAATTATTTTCAAAAGGAAATTGGAAGCTCAACAAGAAAACTATATTGTAATGCAATGACAAGTTAGGGCTTGTCCACAGGGACAGTGAGATTGTGGCCAGCTGAGGCTGTAATCCTCTTTCAAAAAGGGCTAGATCAAAGCTCATTAACAAACTGTCAATGCATGTCAGCAGTGTCCACAAACACAGTTAGTATGTAAGCAGGCTAACGTGGGGTAGATTCACACCACAGTTGACACAAATTAACTATCCATGTAGACAAGCCCTTAGAGTTGCCCCTTCTACAACTCCTCAATTCTAACAGCATCTGACAAGAGCTAAACACTATAATTGTATACATTATACATTTCTTACCAAACTTGTATTTGGTTCCCACTGGAAGTGAATATATGCTGGAAGCAGGGATATTCTTCTTTGATCTATGGATTTCACAATGCAAAGTCTTAGAATTAATATAACTGAATAAAAACCACTCACTTTATAAATAGCACAAATAAAAATGGTTAGATTTATTCACTGTATTGAAAGTCATTAGTGTCTTTCCTGAAGATATTTCCAAAGATCTGAGGGAATTGCAAAAGACTGTTTTGTTGATGAGCGTTTGAAAGGATTCTTGAATTCTATAATTATTTTATGTTTCCATAGCCATTTCCATCCAATGTCTAAAAGCGCTTTACAAATATTTTATATTCCTATTATCCTAATTGTGATGGGTAAATTGAGGTAAGGAAATTATGCTTTGTGGCATAGAGAAGTTTATCAGTGATAGAACTGGGAATGGAACACAGATCTGCTATTGCCTAGCCCTGTACTCTTGTTGCAGAACCCCTTTAATGTATCCACAACCAGCAAAACTGGAAAAAGTTCAAAGGCAGAGACTATCAAATCAATTGCTACAACTATAGACAATAAAGAACAGCAGAAAACAAAAACAAAAAAAACCAAAAAACCTCCTAAATCTCATTAAATGGAATTGATTACCAACCAACTATTCTGGCTCTTCTCCGAAGAGCAAATAGTACAGGTGCGTGCATCTACACAGCAGGATTTAACTCGAAATAAACTACGCAAATTGAGCTACATCAATTGTGTAGCTAATTGCAAAATAGCTTATTTTGGAATTGGGAGTGTCTACATAACACTTATTTCGAAATAGAGCACTCTTCTGCCGACTTCCCTTACTCCTCGTACAATGAGGTTTACAGGAGTCAGAGTAAGAACTCCTCTGGCTTGACAGTATTTTGACATTATTTTGAAATAACTGCCTGCTGTGTAGACGCAGACAAAGTTATTTTGAAATAATGCTAATTATTTCGAAAAGATGTTGTTGTGTAGACATACCCTTTGCCAGGAGGTGGTTGGCCAAAGCAGTCCACCTCCAAAATGCAGGACAATGTCCTGCATTTTGCTTCAGCTACCCCAGACTAACACGGCTACATTTCTATCACCTCCAAAAGTTACTGTCAAGAACATTTTTGTTAGATGCAGAAAAACAGATGTCTTATTTATGCCATCAGGGATTGTTCATACACCAGGGGAGTTTGTAGCTGTCCTCTGAGGACAGCCCTTCATCCCCTGTAGACTATAGGGATTGAACAGAAGGCTAAATATATCTCTTGACATTTAGGTCTAGTGAATATGAAACTATGCTAATCTGGTACTTTATTGTATATGTTCCATCTAATTTTAAAATAGTAATCTCTTTTTCAGTCTTTTTAACTTTTTCACAGTATGGAATTTTATTTCACCAGACTATAATGACCTCTGTGGTACTAATTACAATAAGTAAAAGCTTCAGAGGGGTAGCCAAGTTAGTCTGTAACAGGAAAAACTTAAAAAACAACAAATAGTCTAGTAGCACCTTAAAGACTAACAAAACATGTAGATGGTATCATGAGCTTCTGTGGGAAAAACCTACTTCTTCAGATAATCGGAGTATAATAAGTCCAGATCTAAGAATAAATAAGGGAAGGGGCGGGGATGGGGAAGAGGATAAAAGGAGAGTGGAGGAAGAAAAAGTGAGACAGTGAGTAGATAGTTCAAATAGTTACAAGAGGCTGTTAAGAACCATTAACACCTCCATTGTTTGGTTGGTTAAATCATTAAAAGGTGGAAGATAGTGTGTGAGCCATTCGCTATCCCAGTAGTCCCCAACCTTTTGTCTGTGTTTGGGGGCAGGGCCGTGCGCCCGGAGCCGGCCCCGATCACTTGGCGGGTGCACATAAATGCCCCAGCGGGCGCCATGGCACCCACGGGCACCGCATTGAGGACCACTGCTCTATCCCAGTTCAGACCATTAGCATAAGAATTAAACTTGTGAATGAAGTTAAGTTCCAATCCTTCTCTGTGTATTTGGCTTGTGGAATTGGTCTGAAAAACAACTGCGACTTGGAGATGCATTAATGAGTGTCCAGGAAGATTAAAGAGTTCTCCAACAGGTTTTTGTGTGTTGCCGTTTCAGATATCTGATTTGTGTCCATTAATTCCTTCCTGCAGAGATTGTCCAGTTTGGCCAATATACATGGCAGTGGGGCTTTGCTGGCATTAGATGGCATAGATCACATTAATGGATGTGCAGTTAAATGAGCCTTTGATTTGGTGGCTGATGTCACTGAGTCCAGTGATGAAATCACTTGTGTAGATGTGTGGACAGAGTTGGCACCGGGGCTGATTGCAGGGATGGGTTCCTGGATGATTATGATGGAGGTGTGTTGCGTGGTTACTGAAAAGTATTTGTTTGAGGCGAGGGGGTTGTTTGTAAGCGAGAATTGGTCTTTCCTCCAAGGCTTCTGAGAGTGAGGATATGTTATAGATTATTGATAAAGGGTTGCATCCAGTTTTCTGCCCAATGTTTTACAAACAAGTCACTATGAAGTAACACAAGTGCATATATACTAACATAAAAGTCTGATCTTTTCCATCAACATCCCTCCTCCCTCTCTGTACCTTTTGTACATATGCCTTTCCATATATGATTCTCTCCAGTGCTCTGAAGTTTCAGGGCTTGTTTATATTTGCTGGTATAGACAAACAAATAGAACTGTACCAGCAACAATCCAAGTGGAGATGCAGCTTACACAAACAAAAATGTTGTTTTGATAGTAACATTTAAACCATTGTCCTTCTGTTTCTCTTTTCCCTCAATTTTCCCTTTCCTGTAGCCATGCCATTTCATGGGTTTCTTTCATAAGAGAACCGAGGTTACATTTCCCCCACCTCCACTAAAAATTCTGTACCTTGAAGCTCCTATCTCTCCACCTCCATCATGAATGGCTGGCATCTTCAGTGGACTTGGGTTCCAAGAATCTAGTCCTCTCCTCTGCAGATCCTTCACAGGTATGTCTCCCCTACCAAAAGAAGTATTTATCTTTCATAAAGTGATCTTTTTTTTTTCACAGACCACTTGAAAATTGCTGAGGGTCTCGGTGGACCACTTAAGGTCCTTTCCAAATATTGTTTGTACCATTAGCTAACTGTTGTAAAGTGCTTTGGATAAGGGTGCTTTCTAAAAAAACGTAATCTCCATGGCCCTGCACTGGCTGACCCAGAGATGCAGGGAGAGACCCACATGTACTCTAACTAAAAGTGAATGCAGCTGCCCCATGCTCCCCTGAAGCCTTCCGGCCTGTGCTTGTGCTGTTCGCCACCTCCTGAAGACTCTCCTGAGGTTGTAGCCTGCCGGTGGGGCTCCCTGCTTTTCTGCATCCCTCAGCCCTCTCGACAGAGGGACTGCGCTCCTACCCCACCGGCAGAGGAGCCACTCCCTGTGTGGGAGGAGGTGCTGGACCCGGTGCTGGACTGCCCGGCTCTGGAGGCCCTGAGACATTGAGGGAGCCCTTTGACAGGGCACTATATGTTTCATTGTAAATCCGCCTCTGGGTACTGTGAGGAAAGCTCTGCTGGTAATATTGAGTCTTGCTAGTTATTTCCCCATCACTTTCAGCCCTCTTAGCAGGTGAATGACTAACCCGAGGTGGGCAATAATTTTTTGCCAGGGGCCACTTCAAAAATTTCTGAAGTGTCCCCATGCTGCACAGCAGAGGGAGGGCCCTCAAATGGAAGGGGTGAGGCCAGGATGCTTTGGGCTTCCTCACCCACTGACCATGATTGGTCTGGGGGTGGGGGAGCCCCTTTGCCCTCCCTTCCCACTAAGCACCGCTGCCTCTGGCCTAGGGGTGTGGGAGCATGCTTCAAAGCGCCGTGTGCTCCTGGCTGCCCCCAGACCCTAATTGGCCTGGGGGCAGGGGAGTGGCAGGGCCTCCGCGGGCTGAATCAACCCGTGTGGTAGGCCGGATGCAGTCCGAGGAGGCTCTTTTGCCCACCCCTGGACTAACCAAGCCGCCTCATTATTCCCCAGAATCCTCATTTAAAAAAACCAGAGAGCTTTGAAGTGAGAACTGTCACATTTATTTCCATGGGTACTAACTCAATGGGAATCCACAGCCCAGTGACATAAACAGGTAAAAAAGGCAAGGAAATATAGTATGAAGATCTACATTATGGGGGGGGGGTCTCAGAGGGGTACCTGTGTTAGTCTGTAACTTTAAAAACAACAAGCGGTCATGTGGCACCTTAGGGTATGTCTACACTACAAAGTTAGTTCGAACTAACAGACGTTAGTTCGAACTAACTTTCATAGGCGCTACACTAGCGCTCCGTTAGTTTGAACTTAATTCGAACTAGCGGAGCGCTTAGTTCGAACTAGGTAATCCTCATTCCACGAGGATTAAGCCTAGTTCGAACTTACTAGTTCGAATTAAGGGCTGTGTAGACCCTTAATTCGAACTAGTGGGAGGCTAGCCCTCCCCAGGTTTCCCTGGTGGCCACTCTGGCCAACACCAGGGAAACTC